GAACAAAAAAATAGCAGGAATCAGGAATCATAAATAAGAGGAGGAAAGTTTACTCGAAGGTTGTTTTCGCCTCAATTTTAACAATAGGTACCAGGGACGTTCGGTATTGACGATTTTACCACGCCAGCCATGCTACCRGGCAATACTGTRGTAGTGGGAATGGAAGCTTGCTGGCGCCAAAAGAGAGTATTCAGTCGTGAGCAATATCAAGTCCAACGGACTGCAAGTTGGGGAAGGGGGCTGAGGGAAATCAAATATTAAGAATTTTTTTGTGGTAGGAAAGATATCCTACCAGAAGTGGACAAAAAATGATACCAGATTGCAACAAAAAACGTTACCATATGGTAGCATTTTTAGTCTGCAATMTGGTATCATTTTTTGTCCACTTCTGGTAGGATATCTTTCCTACAATACGTACGGGGTACAATTTTTAATTGAAATCCCGTTTGTATYGTGGGACAGCACTCATTCGGAACCGGTACTGATAAGAGTGCTGCTACGCACAACTAGTAGCACTTGTACCTACGAGGAAGCTCCCCGGGACGGGGAACAGCAAGCTGCAAATCATCATAAAATAGCATGCTGATATTGCTTGTCGACCATGGTATTTTCCCTCATTTAAAGCACTTCCATAGTATAATCAACACCACGAGTCTCGTTACACTAGATGTCGACTCATGGTTGTTTCCTGGTCAAAATCCATGTACCAGAACCTTATTTTTGTTGTGATTAGTACTGCTCCTTGGACTCCGGCGTGTCGTCACAACGACTGTTGCCAGGCAGCATGGCGCTAACGAAAGAAGACTTTGACTTACTAGCAAAGGAAGTTCTTTGTTGGCCAGCAGAGCGTAGGATATGGAACAATGATGAGAAAGAGATGAGATTCAAATCTTGCTTTGGAGCTTCAGCTGAACAAGTAGCAGACTTGTGGAAAAAATTGTTGCTCACCGACCAGTTGCTGCTGATGGGGGAAAGGCCAAGCATTTGCTCTGGGCGCTTGTTTTCCTCAAGGTCTATTCTWCTGTTGAGATTCACTGCTCTATTGTTGGATGGCCTTCTCCAAAGACCTTTCGAAAATGGTCTTGGTACTTTGTTAAGAGGATTGCAGAGCTGCAAAATGACTTGATTAGTCTTGACAATAGATTCGATGGTTATAGAGGGACMATTCAAACCAATTGCTTCATAAGTGTGGATGGAACAGACTGCCCTGTATTTGAGCCTCATCCTTGGTCAAAAGAGATGTATTCCCACAAGTTCAATGGACCAGCSCTGAAGTATGAAGTAGCTGTTTGCTTGAAGACCGGTTTGATTGTTTGGATCAATGGTCCATTTGTGGGAAGTACTAATGATTCCACAATATTCATTGAAGGATTAGGAAGATGCTTACATGCTGAAGAGGCTGTTGAGGCTGATAGTGGCTATGCAAAAGATGCAAGACTCAAGCTTCCTGGGATGGGACTGACCAGTGAAAAAAGGAAGATGAAATCAAATGCAAGGGCSCAGCAAGAAGCTATCAATGGCAGATTGAAACAATTCAATGTGCTTACTGCTCATTTTCGACACATGAAACCAAACAGGSAGACAATGATGCAACAGCACAAGCTGTGTTTCCATGCTGTTGCTGTTATTACACAGCTCAAAATCCAATCAGGGTCACGTGTCTTTGCAGATGGATTAGATTACGATGTAAATTATTTCTAGTACTACTDGTACTAGTCACCAGCAGCAGAACAGCAACAACAGCACAGCATTGGTCTCGAGCAAGGAGCTGGACTCACGTGGTAGTTGCAATAGACTGGAGCAACCCACTAGCGACTGGCTTGCTGGCGAGTCAACTCCTTCTGGGCCTATCAAAATTCAATCACTGGAGAGGCTTGGATTCCAGTCCCTCCGCGGATACTCAATCTATAACGCGAAAACTACAGTTGATACATACATAACAGCACTATTTGTATACAATTTATACTGGCCTATTCCATCTGTAATCAATCGAGTACTACTAGTAGTAGGCTTCCAACTGCTGGCAGCATGCTACTACGTATGAATAGCAAGAACCTTAGTACTACTACTAGTAGTAGCGCTATGGAGGAGGTCAAGATTCACTAAAATTGAGCAAACTGGCAAGGCTCCCCCCTTGCAAAAGGAATTTCTACAGGAAATTGCTGTACAGCTTGTACTAGGAAAGTTGAATTTGATCCATTTTTGCTCTCCAGTTTGCTCCTCCTCTGCTGCGAATCACTAAAATGAGCAAACTGGCAAGGCTCCCCCCTTGCAAAAGGAATTTCTACAGGAATTTGCTGTACAGCTTGTACCAGGAAAGTTGAATTTGATCCATTTTGCTCTCCAGTTTGCTTGGTTCAACTACTACTAGTGGTACTACCACTAGTACTAGTAGTTGTACCAGCAGTGCAGGAGAGCTAGTACTACTGCTGCTTGAAACGCACTCCATGGTGGGATTGAAATTCTAGTACTAGTACACTATTTGCATACACTTTATCTCTATTAGGAACAATATCTACCAAAGAGTAGTTGCAATAGACCTGAGCAATACCGCAAGGACCAGCAAGCCGYGCCTTTGAGCTGTCCTGGGCCTACAGTTTTAGAATATACTGTAACACGTCTAGAATCACCACTTCCTGGGCCTGCAGTTTAGAATACTGGTGTAACGCGTCTAGAATCRCTTCCTGGGCCTACAGTTAATACTATGATACTGTAACRTGTCTAGAATCACTAGTCAGTTTACTCTCTATACAGTAGTAAGCGTTGCTGCGCTTTATCTTGTGCTGTWAAGCACCTTCTCAACTTCATCCAGATATGATTTGGCATCATGGAAGGACTTGATTGGGTCTATTCCAGAGGAAGCAATGGTTGAATCRAATGAATGAAAGCTCTCTTCATCTTCCATCTTCAGCAGTAGTTGTCATTCTTCTTCCCTCAACCTCTTGTTCRACGTATCTTCAACAGCATTCCTTGGTGAAAGAGGAGAAGGCGACGACAGTGGTGGTGGCAAGGACAGGAGGCGGAGAGGAGGAGGCAAAGGGGGAGACAAAGTATCCTTGTWAGTTCTGTGTTTCTTTTTTTTGTGCTCTTCTTCTTTCTTCTCAGCAGCAGAAGTGGGAGGTTCCGGAGGAGGACCAGAAGCAGCACCAGAAGCACACCCAGCACCGGCAGGAGACGACTTACACAGGTTGACAACTCCACCTCTCTTGGATAGGATAGGAGACTGGAAGCTTGCTGGCAGTTTTGATTCATCCTCATCCCTTTCCTTGAATTGAATTTGGAGGATGTTTCCATCATTAACGTTGCCATTTACACTGATGTTAATAGTTAGGAATTCAGCAACGTAGATAGAAGTATCCATATCATTCTTAAATTTGAAGAAGCCTTCAGACCAGATGAARMCATCATCATCCTTGAGTTTCTTTGCTGTCTTTCCCATGCTTGTATACAAAGCATGTCCAGCTGGAAAGGTTTGGAAGCTTCCGTCCTTCGTTRTCGTCACATCCAAATCAGTCTGCATCATACATCTCTGCATGAAGCTAGGCCACTTGTATGCCACGCGAAAGGTCCTCTTATTGACCCAGGAGAGCCTGAAGTCAGACTCCTGTGCACCGGTGTGGATGAGCATCCTCATCAAGCAGAGGGATGTTGTATTATCAGTATCATGATTGAAGGTTTCCCATCTACCGGAAAGGATTGGATAGGATAGGATAGGATAGGGATCCACTAACCCACTGAATCGCTGGTTCCTTGATGTGGAGGGATCTTTCAACAAGTTCCGAAAGATCATCCTCATCATCACTATCGATGGCTTTCCTGTTGGTGGTGTTCTTTCGTGCCATGGTGTCTTCAACTTCTTCCTCCTCCTCTTYGTATGATTCCTCTTCTTTGGTGGGTTCTTCCTCCGCCTTCTTTGCAATTTCTGCAAGCTTTTGTTGGACTTCTTTGTATGGGTCAATGAGTGTGATTCCGCGATTCTGTAGGTCAATAGCAAGTGTTGCCATGCTCTGTGGTGGAGATTGATAGTACAAGAGGAGGAATCGTAAGAAGATGAAACAAACGGCACCGACGTCGGCACTGTTACCGACRTCGTGAACGRCGACCTTCGTTACATACCTTCCCAATCTTGGGCCAGCTCGATTGTTTGATGTGAGTTTGAATGTATTGGGAGCTTCTGTAATTGTAGACAGATGATGGCTTGTTGTTAGGGTTCCAACCTTCTCTTCCTTCAGTTCTAAGATAGGACCAAAAGTGAAAGCAAGCAATKTTCTTTGATAGCTCTAGTTTCAAGTATACTGGCTCGGGGTTTCTGCTTTGCTCTTCCTGTCTTCTTCCTTTCTTCGACGATATCGCTCCAGCTCTTGCCATTGTTTTATTATGAGGACACTGACCCTGGACGAGGTCGATCTCTTGCTCCTTCTATCTYGTTGTACTACTAGTTGCGCCATGCTGCTGTTGCTTGCTTGTTGCTGCTGCTTTAATGAGCAAAAAGCAGTCCRGCAGGAGCAAGCTGCAGTTTAAACAGTCCCACAACATAAGAAACACACGGCAAGATTTTCATCCCCGTAAAGTACTACTTATACTAAAAACATCGGTTACCAGAAACGTTACACTGTTTGCATACTTTACTACCATAACCGTTACCAGCTACCATAATCACTACCAGATTGTAGCTAGAATTGCTACCAGATTGCGACCAGAAATGCTACCAAAATGCTACCAGTAATGCTACCAAAATATATGCTACGCTACCAGAATTTTTTTTGAATTCTCTCAGCCCCCCCCTTGAGTATCGAATTTCATACATAGTTTGCGGGACTGTTCAAATGGGTCTAAATAGTGTCTTAAGTGGCGTCTACTAATTCCATTACCATAACGGGTCTAGTAAGAAACGTACGTGGTAAAATCGTCAATACCGAACGTCCCAGGTAAACATGGTAAAACTTTTGTACGAAGTACTTTAGAAGTACTTCGTAAGAACTTTGTAACAAATTCAGCTAATAACTTTTAAACTAGGATTTTAAGTACACCACTCTTTAGTATCAAATACAAAGATACCCTAGTGCGGTGCCAAGTATCTTGTCCACAAGTTGTGATATATTCACCTATCTAAACAACTGGCAGGTTTCAGCTGACTGAAATATAAATATTGATTATGTCTTCTTGTGATACTTCATGTAGTATCTRCATTAAGGGATGAGCTAGACTGGCGAGTAACAATAGAACAAAKAACTCGAAGAAAAGTCACATGTTACATTTGAATACCAACCAAGTCCAATGCACCGGTAACACCAGATACTGCTCGCTTTGCCTGGGACTTCATATTGTTACCGATCATCGCAACACCATCGCTAACACTATACGACTCTCCATCGTCCGAACTTGCATCATCTRCGTCGTCTTCATCGTCACCAGGTGGATTTCTTCCGGTATCTTCTACACAATTAAAGATCTGAGGAAAAAGYGGTTCAATCTCCCCTTTGTTCTCAGCCAATAGATTGTCCTTCTTGGTACGAAACCAAGGCTCTTCGTCAAATGCGACGAATTCCTCAATTATGAAGTTCTCAGCTAGAGCTCTCATCATGACGTCACAAGTTCGTTCCCTCACTTTTATGTCTGAAGGGTTGATATTCGTAATCGTCTTCAGAGAAGAATTTGTCGTTAAGGTGCGGGCAAGCTCGCATATCGCACTGTTCGTATCAGCGTGGTTTCCGGGAATCAGCGAAAACTTAAGATCTTCGATTCCGGTGTTCTTGCGGAGTGCGGCTGCAAGTAACTTGAAGGTTCGGAGCTCCAATGGGGGTTCGATTGTGAGCTTTTTCAAAATCTTATTCTTAGGAACACTGTGAACGGTCTCCATTGCATGCAAATTGTCGACGTTAAAGTCATTTGCTATGATGGTAAGAGATTCCAATGTTCGACTGCTGAGCAGGATGTGAAAGGGGAAGCTCTCGTTCATTTCCAAAGTTAGGTCTTGAAGGGCCGGTAATTCGGCCAAAATATTGAGCAAACGTTGCGATATCGCACCCTTGCAAACATGGATTCTAACTGTACTTAGGTTTTGGTTTTGCCACTGAGTAAGCGCAACGAAATGAATTTCCTCCGTAAGAAAGTTTGCCAAGTTGAGAATTTCAAGATTAGGGAGCGAYTGTATTGTTTTGAAGAGAAGGGCAATATCTTCKGAATTTCTTGACCGCTCTGAGTTTCCATCCCAAGAACGAAAAATATGAAGCTCCGTGATTTCTAAGTTATCCTTCAGATTTGACATCAATGCCTTGAATGCAGATTGCTTGTAATGATCGATGCATAGCTTTAATTTTGAATCGGAATCGTTAAAATCCCTGTTTTTGTGCTTCAGATTCATGAGATTATCCAAAAGATTGTGAACCAACTGGCTGGAGCTTGAATTAAGTTCTACTTTCAAATCTCTTTTTGTTTGCGTCCGAATTGGTGTCGATGCATCAGATGGAATACTAATAGCTTCCTGACTAGTGGACAGCACTGATGTGATGACCTGCTGCACAGATTTATAGGATAGCACACTGTCATTCAATTTCTGTTCGGTGGATTCGCAAACACACTCATCGCCACTGCCTTTAGTTGCCGCTGAGTCTTCATTCTCAACTGAAGCTTCTTTGACAATATCACTAGATGATGATTTCTGCAGATCCGGTTCGTGACAAGCCATAATAGTTTGTCGAACCTGCAAAATGTTGGCCTTAACCCGTGTTCCCATTGGTACTTTGGCCAATAAACGCTCCCACTGAGACCCTTCTTTTTTGCTCCAATCATTGTTATTCTTTGCCTCTTGGTTCTCCTGATTTCCAACAGTCTGCTTCGCTGAGTCAGTGTCAACCTGATCTTCGGTCTGGATGTAATAATCACTGCAGATGGGGAGAGACAAACATTTTTTCGAGAACCTGCTTCTAGCTCCTTTAGAAGAAGAGCTCTTCCATTTGGTACTTCTACTTGTAACCGAAACAGTGATACTTATATCATCTGGCTTAGGGCAATCGTTCCGTATCATCTCTTGCTGTTCCTTGTCGGTACATTCTGTAGTGGAAATGGGGAAACCATGCAAATCTAGATTGCAGCTACCCATTTTCTCTTTGTGAGCATGATCAAGGTCGCAAACCACTGAATTTGGTTTTCTTTCCATTCTTTCTTTAATTTTATCATCAAAACTCAGTTTGCCAAAAGCAGTTACTGTCTCTTCGTTTCCTTCTTCATTATCATCAAAGTCACGGCTCCACCATCCGTCTTTTCTCGTCTCGTCATCCGTGGTACTAAAAGCAAAATTTTCAGCCTCAATCCAATCTTTTCTAAGATCCTTGGATAAAATATTTTCCTTTGGTTCGTCGCCAAACAATTTTTTTGGAGGAAACTCTTCTTCCACTTCAGGAATATCAAAATTCAAGTTTGACTGCTTGTGAGATTCGAAGTTATCGCTTTGATGGATATCACACCATGAATGCTTTAGAGAAGGATTAAAATCATCTTGGTTATTGCTTTTTTCCTCTGCAGCGGGTGAAGAAGAGACCCCGCTACTGCCCATTGCGAATCCATCATCAAAGTCCATGACTTTTGTTGGACTAATTTCTTTCAAAGTGCCACCCAGCTTTGGAGACGAATCGTCTGGGAAGTTATAGGGGAATACATCAGAAGATAAAATAGGTTGATTGCCCTCGCTATCCCTCCAATCGATATTGCAAAATTCCCGTTCCCTCAGGATCTCTTGCTGGAAGCTTTCGAAAGATTTGTCCGTGTCGCTTTCGTCGGAGTCGGCGAACTCTATATCTTTGAGAAACTTGATATCGACGACCCTCATTTTGCTTAGTTATTTTATGTCTTTCTGCACTCCAACGACTTTTTTGCCTTGTTTGTCCACTCTCTGGGCTGCGAGACTCCCTCAATAAATCACTGGATCCATCAACCTTTTCGATGCTTATGTCCTACCGGTACGTACTGTAGAGTGATGAAGATAATCATTACTTGCTCCTAGCCCATCCATGGAAAATAGAAAATCATGCACATAATTTACGCATGAGAAAGCGGGAAAAGCATGCTCGCTACGTATTTAATTTGAGGTTGTAATCGCTCATTTGGCGGGTAAATGATTTGTGAAAAGATAATTCCTTGGGAAAGGCTATATGCTGACGTTTGCATCCTCCCTTTTAAAAATATTATTTACAAAACCTTAGTCGTAAAACGTTATTTAATCGTTTTTAAAAAATAAAGAGGGTAAATGGTGATTTACTGCCCTATGGTATGATCACCGGAATTTTGAAAAATTGCCACCTTTTATTGTGACTGAGTTAAGTGATACTGAACTTTTCAGCTTTGGAATAAAGTACTACGGTAGTACTACATTACGTTTTCGAACGGATACTCCGAGCCGAACAACAGAAAAGCAATACAGGTTACAGGTACCGTACCAGTTAATTGGTAATAAAATGCGTCAAACGTAAAAAACCTAATGAACACTACTTGGAGAAAAGTAACTTTACTCCAGGCAGAAAAATAATTACTAGTAAAATCACGGTTCATTTAGTACTGGTTCCTACCAGCTGCTACATAGATCTACAAGTTTTTGGTCACTTTTCAACCACAAAGAGTGTTTATGAGGCCATTAAAAGTGCTCAAGAACCAGCTCAAATGAGATCCCCTTTGGAGATATGCTTGGTCATAGTGTTAAGAAGAGTGCTGTTTGTCATTGTTGTTACAGGATTAGGGGCCAGGGGGGAGGAGCCCGTTCTCTATTAACAGCTGATATGGCCAAATTTGGCCAGTGGAGACTGGCTGCTGGTTAGACAATAGGCCAGAACTCTATCAAAAAACAACTTTAGACCACCAGACTAAGCGCCCAGACCAAGAAGTTGATACAATTACTTAAAAAACCAGGTCATTGGGAAGCCAAAGGATGCTCTAGCTAGGAGTCAGCCAAAGTTACAGTAGTTGGTGGCCAAAAATTTTGAAGTCTAGGTGTAATTTTATTACCAATAAACTGGGTTCGTAGTACGTAATGTTGTGTTGGGCGTAACATACCAGCATCTGGAACTGCGCTCGAGCGAGAGGGAAAATAGGAAAAATTGAATGAATGGGAATACAATCTACTAGTAGTAGTAGTTTTGACAGGAGACTGACAGACCAAAAATAGATAGTTCAGCTTGAGCTTGCAGTAGTTTTTAGATTGCCTAGAACACACCTCTGAGCCCCCAAGACAATCAAAATCTAGTGGAACCCACAAAGAGTTGTTTGTTGTAACAATTTAGGTGCATGCCACTGAACTGCTGCTGGCATGCTAGCAAGAAACTGCAATCACTTTGTGTTCCTTTATACTACTGATGGCTGGTGACTATGGCAGTGCTCCTCCAACTAGTATTGGTAGTGGTATTACTACTACTAGCAGCACTAGTACCTCCTCCTGCTAGTAGTAGTACTAATTCTGTGCTGGACATAGTCCCTGCTAAAGTCTAGTATCCACCATTGAAGTTGTGGTTGAGCTTGTTGATTTTCTTGTTCTTTCTAAACAGTGTAGCTAGTAGAGTAAATTGTCTATTAGACTAATGGTGGGAATCATTTTGACTATCAACTTGTAAGAGGCATTTCCAGAAAATTAACACCTACACCATCACCAGCAATATTGACAGTTTCAATTTTTTCCCTTCTTCTTTCGGGCCTCCCCTCCTGCCTCCYAATACAGAAGTATAACATGATACTGTCTCTCCATCATTTGTTTCTTGTTGCTTGGATTTTTTTAAAAAAATAAATGTTAAACAAGCCTTGAAGGAAGTAGTGGGGCACTGGGTTGGCCCAAACCAAGCTGAAGTATATTGGGCTAGCTACTCCAAATGGTGGTACCTTGTTTGTCCAGGGAGTGGTGTTGGACAAGGCACAACCACGTGGCGATTTGCAACCCAACCTCCTTCACACATTACTGAGCATGTTGTAACCATCTAAATCATAGGACAAATTCTCAATATTGCTTGGATTTTTGCTAATATCATTATGTTGTTTAAGTATTGTAGTGCAGAGTCCCCCCCTGTATGATACGCCCACCAGCACTTCCTTAMTGGTCTAGAWACTATATATTCTTTTGGTTGCAAGAAGGGACCACTGGTATTTTATGTAGTAGTATTACTAMTACTAAAAAGTTCAAAAAGCTGCGGGTGCTTGTTGTTGCAAATGCTTAGTATAACTGTCATCTCTCATTCTCTTGCTGATACTACTACTAGAATCAACTCCTTCTGAGGTACTACTATGTAGCTAGTAAGTTCTTTGTTGTTTAGGAAAGTTGAAAAAACAGTTAACAAGATGTTGCAAAAAATTCCATAATGCAGACCAATCAAGCCAGATTGGTATTTTGTTGCCAACAGCTTAAAAGCAACAATTACTACTAGTACCTCTGTGCAAATGGCATTCGATTGCTGTCTGCTGGTGTTCTTACTAGTTCGAAAGAACCACTCCTGCCACCATTCTGTCCTCAAACAGGCAAGGTCATTGATGAGTCAATACAAAATAGATTTTTGGATGAAGCCAATTTGGTGTTGACATGAAGAACAATGATAGTAACAGCAGTGGGCAGGACAAGTTTGATGGTGAGGAATTCTATGGCAACCCATTGGTTAGGGATGAATTCAAGCAACATGGAGATATTAGATTTTGGATACTGGTGGAGGGAGGCTGTTCAATGCCCCCTATAGTAAATCTCCATCTCTTGTGCCTGAATTTGATATCAAATCATATCTAAATAATTCAATGACCAGAATTACAGTAGTATTTTAACTTGTGCTTGTGAGAATCAAAAAATAGAATTGATTGAAATTACCAAAATGATTCAAAACTTGCACAATGGGATTCTTCTGATGTAAAAGCAACAGCTTGTCCACACTAAAAAAGAACTGAGATAAAGTGGAACATCACTCAAAGAACTGTCCTACCATAAAAAAATTAATTGCTTTTTGGATGTCTAAACATGAGTTAGAATAAATTGGCACACACTATAATGTATCCAATAGTAGCAGCCCTCCAATTAAAATAAAATGAATTTTGGACCCTTGATTTGTTACAAAAGTTATAATTGTGTGACAAGTGAGGTAATACTAGTCCAGTTGGTAGCAAGAAGAAACTTGATTTTTTTTWWAAAAAAAGATAAACTCAAAGTCAAACTAGTAGCAGCTATGAACATTTTGATCAGGGAAGCATGATTTTGTTGTCTTAATCTAAAGAAAGCATCAAAATTGTAAAAGCCCCCCAAAAATGTCTGGGTCACAAGAAAATACTCTGGTGACTGGTGAATTACACACTGATACAATTGTTAGTATTTTGCAAGTGGTAGTACTACTTCTAGAAGCCAAACTTTTATTCTTCTATGTGATGAATAATTGAAAAAGAAGGGAAGACAAGCTGCTGGGTTGTTCTGACATTTTGTCAGTTCCATAACTGGACTACATTCACCATTTTTTTRCAACCTCCTAAGTTCTGAGCACAGCAGATGATTCTCATTTTGGGGCATTGGCAATGTGGTCATTGGTCAAACTTTTGTCAATTTACTGACAGTAAAACAATTTAATTAAGGGATTAATTTGAATGATATTATTGAATAACACAGATGTCTTGAATGYTAGTACTACATCATGTTGCAATGGGAGTCTCCTGTTTCACTAAGAAACACTCAAAAAAAGTCTGGGGTGTCAATATTCTTGGAACCTTGCCTCTACTACTCTAGCAGCAGTCCATGTTTGATTGAATATAGCAAAATATTTAAGATTGTTTTGATTGCATATGCTTACTTCCTATTTAATTACAAGTAATAGTGTGGGCAGACAAAAAGCACAATTCCAGTTGTACCTATTTTAATCTTCAATGTTCAGACTTGAATGCACTTCTTGAGTATTTAGCAACACCCAGATGGTTGCCCACTCTATACAATAGTATGCTGGTCTCTACTATCTGTTGTTTACTTCTTGTATATCATGATAACAAGTAATAACATTTTCATGAAATTTACTAATTGGTGAATCAAACTAGCTAGTACTTTGCCAATCAAAATACAGAATCACACTTTTTRAAAGATATATTAAGATTTCAATAATTCTATTCTTGAATTCTGAAAAGTAACATTGACATTGTTTGAACACAAATCTGTTGAAATTTGCTTCTTTTGGTCCCTCTCATGGATAGACAACCTGGTTGAAGTCAAGGAAGAAGATATTGCATAGGGTGGGCACTGAAATCTACAGACCAAACCAGCAGTTGTAGAGTTTGGACCCATATTTTTTCGTGCAATGACTACTACTTTGACTAAAACACTAAATGCATACAAAATGTGCTTGCTCAGTAGCATTGAGTTTTTAATCCCACCAGTCATGTCACCAAATGTACATGTGCTCAAATCTTTAACGTGTTCTACTAGTAGTATCGTATAGCTTTGGCGGAATGATTCCAGCTGTGTCATTTGTACATTAGGAATGCTATATATTCATACTTGTATATTGATAAATACTACCACTACAACCCCCTGGCTCCCCCAAATGACTAGATTTGAGTCATGTGCTTACCATACTTAGGCTTCCATTGGGGATAAAGTTATAGCTTTTCAAGTGAGTTGAACCTCTCTTAATGTTCTGCGTGTTTTTCTACTGTGTGTGGATTTGGGGCAATCTTTTTACTGTGTAGTAATGACTCATGGGATTAAAATTTGACTTGTACTAGGGCTGCAGCACAGGTGTGARCAAAACTATTTTGGTTGCACAACTGGTGGCAATATAAACTATTTGGTCGCACAACTGGTGGCAAAAAAATTGAGCATGTGTCATGCTGTACCAGGAGTACAATTGTGTTTTTCAATCAAAGTAGTAGTCATTACACGGAAAAATAAGGGCCTAAAATGTACGACTGGTTCGTACATTGGTCTGCCAACTCTATATGATAGGTCTAAATTTTTGATTGCACCAGTCATCACACAGTAAGAAGAGGGCCCAAAATTGATGCACGGTAGTAGGAAAAATATAGAGAGAACAAACTAAGGGTCAATTCACTCCAACAGATATCATAGGCTTGGTAAGCAAATCTACAATCCAGTCATAGATTTTGGGCCATTATTTTTGTGTAATGACTACTTTGACTAAATACACTAAATACATAAAAATGCACATGCAGTACTAGCGTTGAATKTTTATTGTTTGAATCCTGCGACCAAATAGTTTTGCAATGCCTACTTTAAAWTGTACTACTACTGCAAGTCCAAACTTTAAAGCCCATGAGTCATCACACGGTAAAAAGATGACCTGTTATCCATACATTGTGTTATTTGACTGTAGTATAACTGTTTYAATCATGAACTGACAGTTTGAGCGGTATCTTGGTCCCCAACAGACACTTAACAATGATAAACATATGAATCAAAAGGGAATTCAAACTCAAATATAGTCATGTGGGGGAGATGGGGGTCCTAGTGGTKGAAGAATATAACGATATTTGTGTACAAATATAAGATTGCAAATGTACAATTGGATAGTGCTTTTTTGAGTACCCAAGCCTATACGATACTGGTATCTTGGCCCCCAACAGATGCTCAAGAATGATAGCAAAAAAACAATAAAATGAGGAATATAGCTGTGTGGGGGAGTAGGGGGTCCTCTTAGTAGTGATAAAATACTAGCTTCCGTGCTGTATATGTAGTGTTTATATTGTACAACAGGATTGTCATGACTTTTGGGAAATATGATATGGAAAATTACACTTGTAGATATTCTCTGCATCTTAGTCTAAAAAGAAATCTTTTGTGAACTCCTCATGAAAGGCTGGGAGAAATCAGAAATCAGAAATAAGGTAATACAAATGGTGGGACCACACAAACTAGTAGTAGAACACCAGAAGAGCATACCTCTTAGTAATGATGTCAACCTTCAATTTGTGTCCAAAGGTCATAGTAGTTTTTCAACTGAGTACTAAAGATTGASACTACAAGTCTRGAATTATGAATTATTGAAAAGCCAGATGCCTGCTGCTACTACTAGCGGTGCAAAGCAAATAATTTCAGATCACATATTATAGATGACCATATACTAGTAGGCAAAAATGAGTTAAATGATCATAATGATTGTTGTATAGCTGACCTTTTGCCTACAGATGCACAATTGGAAACTATGAAAATATTAGGCCAATAGATGAAGTTTCATGGTGGCATTAATTTTCAACAAAATCTCAAAACCTAAAAGCAAAATACTACGGTTGTAAACTAGACCTGTTCTTCGCAAGAYACCACAGCAAACTTGGATTGGAGCAAATAAGTAGTACTATATGTGATTCACTGAAACTTTGAAATGGTGCTAGTGGTGACAAGAATAACAAATGAGATTAATATGGAAAATTGGAGCAGTAATACTATTTTCACTAATTGAACAAGAGAGATACTAAATAGAAGAAATGGGAGGATGGGGTATAAYGCACACAATTAAAATAATAGAAGTGACTTTGCCATAACTAGTAGTAGTAATATGGGTTAACAATTTCAAAATTGATATCAAAGATAAAGTTTACTCTACACAACCGAAACACCACTAGAAAGAAAATAAATCAAAACAGGATTCACTTGCACTTATTCATGACAGCAGGAACATGGGTTGCAAAAAGATTAATGAAAATAGCCCAAGTTTTGTCTGGTTGGGATCCTTGACCCCATGTGTTGTTTCATTGAAACAAAAAATATATCCTGTGACCAATACTACTAGCAGTCAAGAAGAGGTACAAACCTGGAAAATACATCAGACATTTAGTACTTGGGGTACAGGAACATTCAATGCACATTGATGATTCAAAGATCAGGTTCTCCTAGCTAAATCATACTTCTGCTTGTTGCTTAAGACTGGATTTCTTTGGACCAAAATGGGACGCAAAAGTAGCTCAGTAGAATTCTCTGAAATTCTCCCCAGTTGAAGTGTTATGAAAGTCATGGTGATTCTCTTTCCAGTTTATCAGCAGAATGCGAAGTCTCTCTGAGATTTCTCGACTATTGTACTTCGTGTACTAATTTTTACATAAATAGCCAAAGGATTGGTAGCATTTATTTTAATTACAATGAGGCAAATTCAGCGTCATATTGACGAGGCAACGGAAGCTGTCCCATCCTTTTTTGGTAGCTTCTGCGTGAAGGCGGGAGGTGGGATGCCGTACACCCGAGGTGACACTACAGCACCTTCGTTTGATCTTTTCGTTTGGCCTCCAGTGTTGCCATCGCCTTCCCCGAGTTCACACARATAGCGTGCCGCCAATTGCAAGGCCAAGAATTTCGAATAATGTCGGCATTGCGCAAGGTTACCACCGTGAAACCAAAGCCCATCAACATTTGTTGGCTTCCACATATTTCTAAGTTCTCCCGTCCACGGCCCAGGGTCTTTTTCTGGTTTGTAATTCAGTCCCAAGCCCCATATCTTATGTTTTGCAATTCGAATACAGAGCGAAGAGACAACGAAACAAAGTTAGTAAAGAGTCAACCTACCATGGCGGTGTTTTGCTATTTTGAGGTTCCGATACTAAACGAATGCGGTGCGGGGTTGTTCGCAACAAAAGCAACGCCGTGRAAGCAGTGACTCACCTTTCCCACTTTATCGACAACGTCTTGACCACAAATTTGTTCGACGTACGACTCCATAGTATCAAAACCGGTAGCATACACTACGACTTCCKCGGGGAGACGCTCTTCCCGACGGGTGTCCTTGTTGAATATGACCACGGCATCAGGTTCCAATCGCTCGACGTCCGCATATCGAACCAGGACCTCTTTTCGGGCCAGCAGTTCCGCACACCCAACATCGATGTAGAATCCACCGCCCTCCGTTGCGCTTTTCGCAAACAAACCTGTTCCGTCGTAGCCGTAATCGAATTTGTATCCCGCGGCTTCAACCCGTGCGATCAGCTCCGCGTCGTTGTCTTTCATTTTGTTCGTGACTGATTTCCAGGCACCTCCCTCGGCAAGCATTCGGTACGGCGTGGTTGTCAGCAACAAATCGGCGTCTTCGTGGTGGTATTGCGGATCTTCATTGAACAAAAACAATCCATAGTCCAAGACCGATTTGCTAGAAACAATCATGCTGCCCGTTCGTTGGATCATGGTCACCGAACCGGCACCCTGCTCCCAAAGATCTTGGCAAACATCGAATCCAGAATTGTTGGATCCGACTACAACTACACGCTTTCCGGCAAAAGGCTTCCCGCCGTTGTATTGCGACGTGTGCAGCTGGGTGCCACGAAAGACCGAAGACGCCCCGGGGAAATCGGGGATTTTCGGGCGGGAAGAATTGCCCGTCGCAAACACGACGTGCTYTGCATGCACCGTAGCGCGTCGTTGTTGCTGCTGCTGGTGTTCTCGTCTGCGGTCGTCCTTTTCACTTCTAGAGACCGTCTCGAGTCGCCATCCCTTTTTGCCATCGCTGCCGTCCCASTCCTGGGTTGCTTGCGTGACTCTGGTGTTGGTTCGGATGTTCAGATCCAACAAGCTGGCGTAGGCATCCAGCCAGTCCGCGAGCTTGTCCTTGGGCGCAAAAATCGGCCAGGTTTTTGGAAATTCCATGTAGGGCATGTGCTGGTACCACACCGGATCGTGCAGGTGAAGGCTCGGGTACCGGGCGTTTCGCCAGGAAGACCCCGGAGAATCACCGGCCTCGAACAAAACGTARGGAACGTCCATGGCTTCGAGGCGGGCGGCCAGGCTCAATCCGGCCTGGCCCGCACCGATGATTGCAACGTGGTACTCTTCCCCCTCCTCGTCGTCGTTGCCGSCGCCTGCCGCTTGCGCCCGGCGTTGCTCTCTCGTGTCTTTGAAATAGTCCCGTCCCTTCACCGGTCCCGGAATCGGCCCGCGGGACCTCTTTCGATGCGTMTGAAAGGGTTTGTCGTGAAGGTCCAAAAGAGTTGTCAGCAGGGTGGTGGCCCGCTTTGTCCTCAGATCGAGCCGAACGTGGGCGTACCCGGTTCCCGCGGCCGTCTCGATGTCGCACCAAAATTCGCACGTCGACGATTCGGCAGGGTCCTCGTGGTCGGAAGCAGGGACAATCGAGACTTTCAATGGCGGAGGAAAGGGATCCCTGCCCGATGGTCTTGGATTCGCCAGCTTCCAGGTTGTTCTTTTGTCTCCACCGTTGCCAATAGTTTCGGTGTCGTGCAGGGTTTCCCGCAGCATGTCGCGGATGGTGCTCCGTCCCTCGAGCGTGACGATGTTCCAGGTGTACGCTACCATGTCCCTCCAAAAGGCCGGAAATTTCTTGGGTGTTGCACCGGGATCCGGGCTTTCTTCCCCGGGGTCTTCGACAAACAAATCGACCGCGTCGTCGATCCTGCCTTCCGAGAGCGCTCCGGAAAAGTCCCGAATCCATTGCTTCGCAATGGCGGTGGCCGTTTCCGTTTCCATTTCCAAATCACCACATCCATCGCTGGTGCTGCCGGAGCCGACCATTCCCGTGCGTGTTCTGGGTGTTCCCGACACCGCGTTCGTGGTTGGCGATGCGTTCGTGGGGTCCAGGATCCGGTGYACCCGTCCAAACCTACTGGGAGCGACCGGTACGAAGGCCGTGGAACAGCACGCCATCAATAGGAGCAGCGACAGCGATATCGGAAACGAAGCCTCGCTTTTCATTTCCCTTCTTTCGCTGTTTGTTTTATGGTGTGATTGCTGGAGTTGAGAGAGTGGGTTGACTAAAGATTCTATCCGATGAAAGCAAGTTCCGATGCACTATGAAGTACAGTATTCGTGATGAATTGTTGAGATCTGGTCTCACTATGGCATGGTCCTCATACTGTTGATGGTAGGGTATGGTGATCGGATTTTCAATCTGCCCAAATAAAAATCATCCAAAGAATTGAGAAACCAAGGTGACGAGGKTCTTCTTYAGATCCATCAACATTCATTAAGGCTAAGGTTTACTTGTATCAAGAGGACCAGTACGACGTACCGTACGGTACCCGGTACCGTACGGACTTGTACGAGTGTACATACAATGAACGCCACTCCAGTAGCAAGGGAAAGAAAATGTTTTTTAATCGAATGGATCAAATTTTAGTCATAAATTATCCGACCGTACGGCGTCGATCACCCGAACCGTCGCGGAGCATCAACTCGAAAGCCCTCGACGGCGACGCCTAGGAACTCCGAAAAGCAGAAACAACGCGTGCTTCWCACCGAACAGAAACCCTCTGTGTTGCCTCTTGTCGACGATTGCAAGCAAGCAGCTACCAAAGGAGAGGAAAGGACACCAGAGTTCCCAGACCCGCTAACAGAGCGGAACAACACCCGGACAGGGACGCACGCAGGGTTCACCTCGCGTTGGATTTGCTTCGGCTCGATCGGAGAGAACCAAACAATCCAAGCCGCAACGATCACAAAGATGGCCGACAACACGCTTTCGGTGAAGATTGGCGGGCGGATTGTTTCGCCGCACCTGCCGATCGTCGATGGATCGCCTTCTTCGGGCCACGAGCTAACCTTYGACAGCTCCCTGCAGAAATTCGTCGGGGACAACATTCCGCTCGAAAGCACCGAGGGGATACAAACCAGGGAACGAGTTCTGAGCCGCATGGGGGTGTTGTGCCGGGCCTGGATCAAGAGCGTCTGCGAAAAGCGTGGGCTTCCCAGAGAGGTCGTGAATTCGGCCGGTGGGCAGCTCTTTACAGCCGGTTCGTATCGATTGGGAATCCACGAACCGGGTGCCGACATTGGTAAGTCAAAAGCGAACAAGGAGTCGGGCAAAGCGAAAYCGCCCCGATCGTCCRTCGTTTTGTGTTTGCCGATAYTCTTCTTCTGCGCACTAACTATGYCCGTTGCTTCCTCGAAACGGCTCCGCAATCGAAAACCACAACGGCGACACCAAATGGCTCCAACCAGATGCTCTGTTGGTGATGCCGAGCATGTGTACACGGCAAGATATTTTTGGAACCTCCACCACCGAGGACGGAGAAAGCCTTCCGATCGACCCGGACTCGCTGGCCGAGCGGGTCAGGGCGCACCCCGACGTCACAAACTTCGTCCCGGTCGAGGGCGCGGCGGTTCCCATCCTGACCTTCGATTGGGAGGGCGTGAACATCGATCTGCTCTTTGCCCGGCTCAACACGGCGTGCGTCCCGCCCGATTTCGACATTGACAACGACGCAAACCTGGACGGCGTCGACGCGGGGACGAGCCGAACAATGAACGCCACCCGGGTGACGAACCTGATCGCGGCCCTGGCGTCGGGGACGAGGGAGCGGTACCAGACCTTCCTGACGGTGGTCCGGTGCGTCCGTAAGTGGGCAAAGGCGCGGGGGCTGTACTCCAACAAAATGGGGTACTGGGGCGGAGTGAACATCAACATCGCCGTAGCCCTGTGCGTGCAGCTCTATCCCAATAGCTCCCCGGCTAGTTTGCTGCGCAGATTTTTTCTGGTCTTCAAAACATGGTACGTAGCGCATGGATTCTGATTTGATCGTCACAATCACCCTCGGCGACATCATTTCGTCGTTCTCGGTTGTGGTTTCGAARTGCAGMCCCCCTTACCTGGCTTCTTTCTCTCTTCCTCTTGCACATTGATACGAATAATTAGGAGATGGCCAAAACCTCTCATGTTGACAAAGCCTCACGATGCTGGTTATGGCCTGCCGGTATGGGCCCAGGGCCCGCAAACTGCACGGCAGGTAGCTCCGATGTTGACTCCGGCATATCCATCCATGAATTCCATGGCAAACGTTTCGCGGCAAACACTTCAAATCTTCCACGAGGAATTCTGCAGGGGTTTCGAAATCATCGATCGGCTGTGGAAGCAACACGAGGCGAGTGAAAAGAGGAAAGCTAAATCAGGGAACGACGCCGAGGACGATGCCGATCCCCTAGACTGGGCCGAACTCTTCCGTCCCTCCGATTTCTTTATCGCCTACCCATACTATCTGAGTCTGTGCATAGTAGGTCCGACACAAGCCGACGAACAAGCCTGGGTTGGTTTCGTCGAGTCCAGACTGAGAATTCTGGTCTCCGGCCTGCTGGGGAAATCGTTGCCACTCTCCAAGATCCAGTTGTGGCCCAAGAAAATCGAAGCGTGCGTCGCCGATCGGTCGGCCTTGCTGACAATGGACCAGAGGAGAAACAGCATCACCTACTTTGTTGGCTTCCTTGTCGACAAGTTGCGGATGCGTGGATCGCAGCTCAACGTAGAGCTACAAATGCAACATTTCCGAGACTGGGAACTGTCTAAGTTTTCACCGCTCGTCCCCGGGATGGATGTCATGGCCAAGACGTTTACGTGCAAGCACTTGCCTCTTATTTGCTTCGAAATGTACGACGGGGGAAAACAAAACGCCATGAAGCGCCGGCGAATGCTTCGAAACATCGACCCGAAACGACAGGAACGGAGACGAGCAAAGAAACTCGCCGACCTCAAAGCAAAGATGGCAGCGATCCAGAAGCGAAAAGCGGCGGCTGCGGCCGAAAGYGCYATGAAATCCGAGACCGACAACGACGACGAGGAAGGTGGAAAGAAACGAAAGCGTTCGGATTCCGAAACGGGAGACGAGCTCGACGAAACAACGGCCGTAAAGGAGGAAGCCGCCCCTGTTTCCCAGGACGAGAACGACRCGAATGACGACRGTGGAAACAACGGCGAAGAAGATCTTCTCGAAAACGCTCTGGACACGCTGCAGGAAGCGGAGGGCGGCGAACGCAAGACACGGGAAGACGCAGAGGCCGATCGAAAGAAGCTGTTGTCGGGAGAATTGTTGGTGGAAGGTGCAGAACTCGACGGCGACCACGACGAAGACCTCGATTTCATCGGGGACGGGGAAGAGGGCAGAAGAAGTTTTGTCGTCCAGCGGTCCAAGTCGCGGATGCAGCCGACCGAGGAGAACGAAAAACTGTACCGCGACATCCGGGCCCTGCCCATGAAAGAGGAGGAAGCCCAGCTGCTCCGGAGCGCCGGSTACACGGTCGTTAGCGATGCCGAAACAGAGACCAAGATCATCGGCGGCAACATGCCAACCCCGTATCGCAGCAGGACGGATGACGACGAGAACGGCGACGGCGAGGCACCCAATGGAACCAAGAARAAAAAACCAAAGGCCAGCATCTTGTTCCGCACGAAATTCGACATCGTGGAYCTCGACGCAGCCGGGCACATCATCGACAAGGGCGACGACGACTTCACTCCTTCCAAGTCGTGGAAGGGCCGCAAAGCAGGSTTCGAGTTCAAACTGGGCGAACGAGGACTGGGATATTATCGCACCGGGAAAAAAGTTGTGGTGCCCTCRAATACTGCCTATTGATAAAATATCGTACACTTTGATCGGTCTTTTGCAACAAATCACCCTATACTTATCTCRGAAGAGAGCATTTGCCGAAAGCTTTTTTGAGTACATATTATTTCTACTTATTTTTGCATTTCGATTCATCATCACAGTACACTTTACTAGCAGTGGCAGAACGGCCATCTTTGGATGTTTTGTATGATTCGATGGCTCCCAAATCTCTGCCCAAGAAGGCTCGCATCGTAGTGTGGTGCAAAGTCGAGGCTTCGGCACTTGCCGGCCTTTTTCTCGGAGCGYTGGTGYGACCGACTCCACCCGAGTGCGGCCCGTGCGAGGGGTTTCCAGAGGCAATCCCTCCTGCCGGCCTAGGCRCCGCCGTCCTTGGTCTGCAACACCCCGTACAACTCCGGTCGCCGGTCCCGGAAGAGTCCCCAGGCCAGCCGCGTCGAACGGTTTGCGGAGGGGTCGATGGAGGAGGTTATCACCGCAACGGGATCGTCCGGTCCCACCTCCCCGGCCTCGGCCACCTTTCCACCGGTCTCGTCCGTGATGAAGGACCGCCCGTAAAAGGTGATGCGCTGTTGTTCCGTGGTTCCGTCCTTTCGCAGCAAGATCTCGGTCCCGTAGCGATTGCTGGCAACGACCGGSACCATCTGAAAACGGGTGGGGGAGAAACCAATAATTCGTGTGCGGTGCGGAAGCGAAACGGGAGAAATCTGTGAGTGGCTCGGAGGATTCTGCTTCACGAATGCTTCCGGGGCTCGAAACCCAAAAAGCAAGGGTTTTGCACCGCAGCATCGGTTTTTTCGTTCGTTAGATTGTTTCGTCACTTACGTTCGCCGCCGCGTGTCCCTGCATGACCCGCTGCCAGTGGTCCGCCGAATTGATGGAAGGGTCCTGGGGCTCGGTGCCGATTGCCGTCGGATAGAGTATCACGTCGGCGCCCATGAGCGCCATGGCCCTCGCCGCCTCGGGGAACCACTGGTCCCAGCAGATCGCCACCCCCACCTTCCCCACGCGGGTCTTCCACACCTTGAACCCGGTGTCTCCCGGGGAAAAGTAGAATTTCTCCTGGTAGCCGGTCCCGTCCGGGATGTGGGATTTCCGATAGGTCCCCGGYAGGACCGATCCGTCGGCATCGATCATGACGATCGAGTTGTAGAGGGCGTTGCGCTTGCGTTCGAAGAGGGAGACCGGCAGGACCACCCCGTAGCGCCTCGCGAGGCCCCGCATGGTTTCGATCAAAAAGTTGAAGCCACCCTCCTCGTCGTCGGTCCCGGCGCCTTCTTCGCTCCGGATTTCCATGGCCAGGTTCTGGAGGCACGCCTCCTGGGACTGACAAAAATACGGACCCAGAAAGAGCTCGGGCAGCAAGACCAGGTCCGCCTTTTTCTCTTCCGCGGCGATCCGGACGGCCTCCCTGGCTCGCTCCAKGAGTCCTGCCACGCTGCTGTCCTCCAGTCCCGATGCGGTGAGCTGGACGGCCGCAACCACGAATTTCYCGCCGCCGCAGGGCCTGCAGCCGCCTTCGCTATCATCCGTCGTCGKCGTCGTCGTCGTCTGTGGTTTGGTTTTGCCGTCTTCTTCCGCTTTCAGTTTTCGAAAGGACTCCAGCAACCTCTCCGGGGCATACGAATACGGAAGTGAGGCCATGGTTGGGTAGGAATTCTGTTGGGTTGACGGTCTATGTGGGGAGAGGAACAACCAACAAACACAAGCAATGCCWCCAAGAGCATCACATCCTACGGTAAYKGTACGTCAATCAACGAAAAGCATCAAAATCTCTGATTGGAATTGTGCACTGGTGAAATCCCCAATTCCAATTTTGGTCATATCATATAGTAGTAGAGTACTTATAATATATATATCTCATAGACATAAAGCAGGCAGGGATGTGAATCGAAACGTCGCACGCGATACGCGCGAAAGTCGACAAAACTTGCTACGGCACTGCTTCTACCGATGATCTAAGCGTAGTACGAGTATCATACGCGCGAACAAAACAGGCAGCACAAAAAGCAAGATTTGTAACCGCAGGATGGATTTGATTTGATGGTATGGTAGTTTTTGTTCAGTCAACAAGTTAGTAGTACTCGTACGAGTAAGAGCAAGAGCACACGGTACTCGTACTGCCTAATTTGAGCATACGGCTACGGCSTCACCGTGTTTTTCGAGTGCCGCGTTTGTTGGTTCCGTACGGTACGGCATCGCACCCCTCGTCTCATTACCGTTACGGTCCGTCTAGTCTATTCTTGCAAGCGAAAGCACACAATCGTTGCCTTCCGATCTCGACCTCCCTGTGACACAACACCGGAACGAACCAGAAGTTTCGAACCACCCCGGTCGACAAAACAGCCAAAACCGCGGCAACCCTTTGGTGCCAGGATTGGAGCCCAAAGTGACTTTGCTTTCCCACCGGAGAAACGAATTCCGACGAAGTCCGAGACGAGACGAAAGCGTGCCCAGGGTCCGGCTTTCTTTTTCCATCGAGGCCAAACAACGTTCAGACAGCGAATCCCTGTCACACGTTCTTCGCTAGCTCACAAAACAAGCCGGAGTGACTTTTCCTTTCGAACTTTGAACCAAGATGGTAGGTACTTCTGCGCAACTAGTTCGGGTTGGTRCAAGCTATGCACCATCGGATCTTGGACGCACCCGAACAATGCTGCGGAGACAGGTGAACTAGCACCAACCAAGCCATCCATACACGCACTTTTCTAGCCACAGCAGCCATAGCCTGCAAGACTCTTCGGGGTGGACGGCAACAAACGGTGGTTGATTCGGTCATGACGACTACGGGCCGTTTGCGATTTGAACCATTTTGTTTCTCACCTCTTTCTCGTTCTCTTTTCCTCCGTGCGAACACTCGGTCTTCGAACGAATCGAAACGACGCAACAACCACCACCGCCACCACCACGAAAGCCTCAAACCAAGCGGCGATTCGCGGACGACGATCCGTCCGACGACGAGGTCGACGACTCGGAGGAGGAGGACTACCAGGTCCCGATGCGCGGGGGAGGCAAGGGCTTTCGGATGCCCGGCGGCAAGGGTATGGGAAAGCAGCTCCGGTACGCCCCCCCTCCGGACGACGACGACAGCGACGACGACGATAGCGACGACGATGACGACGACGACAGCGACGAGGAGGAAGCACCCGCCCCCATTCGTCCGGTCCAGCGAGGAGGAGGCAAGGCCCTGATGCGGCCTTCCGGAGGCAAGCAGCTTCGACCCCCGTAAGTACACCGCAGCGCGGTGCGATGCGATGCGATGCATCGCGAAACGCCAACCTTTTGTTTGTTGTGGGAGACGCTTTCCGCTCTCCGTTTCGATGGAAACCACAAATCTCACAACGCGCTCTCGCCTATCCCCCGTGCCCCGATCTGGTATCGCCGCAAAAGGCCCCAAGACGACGACAGCGACGACGACGACGAGGAACTGGAAGACGACGACGACGATGACGACGACGACGASGAGGRAGAAGCGCCGGAGCCCATCCGCCCGGTCTACCGCGGGGGAGGAAAGGCCCTGGCGCGGATGAGACCCCCGTCGGACGACGAGGACGACAGCGACGATGACGAGGAAGAAGCCGAACCACCGCCCCAGGCACCCGTCCCGCGGGGAGGAGGAAAACAGCTCCGACCCCCGCCTYCCAGCGGTGGCGGCAAACAGCTGCGCCGGCCGGTAGAGAGCGACGAGGAAGACGAGGACGAGGARGAGCAGCAACCCACGCGGATCATGCCGGGAAGGGGTGGCGGGAAGCAGTTCCGACCTCCCCCCAGCAGCGGAAAGCAACTCCGCCGGCTGCAGGACAGCGACGACGATGACGACGACGACGAAGACGACGAAGAGGACGAGAAACCGGTCCAACCCGTCCGTCCGGTTCAGAGGAGTGGAGGAAAAGTATTCATGGGGGGAGGCAAGAGCTTGCGTGCCCCCATACAAGACGACGATGACGATGACGACGACGACGACGACGATGATGATGACGAGAACGACCAGATGATGACCGCTGCTGCTCCCGATGAGGAAGATCCCGAAGACGAGGAAGAGGAAGAGAAGAAGCCTGCCGCCAAAGGAGCCGACAAAGGCAAAGAAAAGGAAGACGACGGCGAAGACGACATGGACGTGGATTCCGACGATGACGACGACGAGGAAGAGTTCCAGGCCGAGTAAGTTACAAYACCTGGATTGTTTTTCGTGSAGTCTCGTCCGAGAATACCATTTCTCGGGYCGAGTCACGGAAACTACGGAATGATTCCGTGCYTCCCCACCGACTCTCTTGCTCACTCACCCGATCTCCAATTTCCTCTACTGCTTTGCCCACACAGAACCGAGCCCAAAAAGACGGGGCGTCCGACCCGGCGAGCCGCTTCCCAGAAGGCGGCACCCGAGCCCGACGACATGGATGAGTCCGACGACGAAAGCAGCGAGGAAGAATTCGACATGGACATGGAAACCCTGGACCAGACCCAGCTGATCAAGGACGAGGGGGACAGAAAGTATCTCGAGTCTCTGCCCGAGATCGAGCGCGAGGCCATTCTTGCCGAGCGTTTCGAACAGCGCAAGAACGAGCACGACATGAGGAAAGCCCTCCGGGAGACGAAGCGAAAAGAGCGGGAGGAAAAGAAGGCACTGGACCAGAAGAACGACAAAAAGCGGAAGGCACCCGCTTCCGCCAAGAAGTCCAAGAAGAGCAAAGACGAGGCGACGTCGAAGGATGCGGAGGTCGCACAGGCCCTCGCCACCTCTTCTCGGCGATCTTCTACCAGAGATCGCGATGCTACTGGGAAGAAAGACTCGAAGGCCAAGGCCCTGGCAGCACTCCGTGAAGTAAGTACGACGTTGAATTCTTGTTTTGTTTCGTCCTTTTATTTTTTCATCGTCACCAAAGCTTCATTTGCACTTACCAATTGGCTTTGTCAACTCTTTCACAGGAGCGCAAGAAGGTCGTAGCAAAAGAGTCTTCGGAGGACGAGTCTGACTTTGGGGAAGACGATTCYGACGACGATTCCGACGACGATTACGAGGAAACACTTGCACCATGGCAAAAGAAAGCGCAAGAGACAAGGGCGAAGAAGAAAACAAAATCACAGCTCGATCAGTACAAAGACGAAGACGAGGACGACGAGTTCGAAGAAACYCGGAAGCCGACGTCCACGAAGGTTGTCAAACCAGCCGAACTCGACGACTATTTGCTGGTTACTATTTCGAGAATGAGGCTGGGTGAATGGTGCAACGAGCCTTACTTTGAAAAGGCGGTCTTGAATTGTTTTGTCAAACTATTTATCGGAGAGAACGACGAAGGAAAGCGATGTTATCGYCTTTGCCGCATTGTCGCAGTCGATAAATCGAAGCAGCCGTATTCGCTGCCCAAAACGAAAAAGAAGAAACCGGTCACGACCGACAAGATGCTCAAGCTTGACTTTGCTGGAACCAGAAAGGTATTTCCATTGAGATTGATCTCTGATAATAAGGTAACGCAAGCTGATGTGACCCAATACGAGGCGGCAATGAAGACTGCTCGAAAACAAGATGAATTGCTCGGTAAACTAGAAGCCAATAAGCTTCGACGAAAACGAGACGAGCTTATTGACAACTTTACGTATACCACCGAAGACATCGAGAGAAAGCTGAAAGAGAAAAAGATGAAGGGTCCGTCTACTACCAATCTCGGTTTGGAACAAACTCGTGYAGCGAATGCTATCCAGGCAGCACGGGGCGCTTTGCAAGAYGCCAAGGCTMGATTAGAGGATGCGAAAGGAGGTGCAGAAATCCAGGATGCAAAAGAGGAAGTGAAACTTGCCGAGGAAAACCTCGAAATCAGATTGGAGCAAGAGAAAATGATTTTGAAGAAAGTCAAGTGGCGTCGAGAACGGAACAAAAACAGGTCGAACAACTGGGTGGACGTGAACGAAAGGGCGAACAAAATGAATCGTTTGGCAGATGTAGGTTTGGACAAAGCCAAGAACAAAGCCGCGGCAAAGAGTCCCTCTGGCACTGTCGCGTTTAACCCGTACGCACGCCGTAAGGTGAAACCTAAGAATTTGTGGCAAGTAGGACAAGGAGACGAGAAAAAGGAGAACGACGAGAAGAACGAAACCGAGGAACCCCCGACCACAAAGGACGGGGCGGGGCAAAGCAACGGAGAYCTCAATTCGAGTTCAACTCCTCCTCTTGTTCAAGAGCAACAAGGGAAAGCAGCAGCTTTGAGCCAATCGCATCAGTTTGCTATTGATGAGGAGACGTTRGCACAGACATCATTTCTTAGTGGTATTGGGGGTCTCGCATCGAAGAAAAAAGCAAAGAAGCGGGTTAGGAAGGGTCTGAGCCTAGCTGAATACCTGGAAGAAAAGGCTGCTGGGACGCTCTAATGCAGATTGATTTGTTGAATGATTTGTTCGACCTMTCTAATWATACATCACATTACTTGTATGATTTTACTAGTAGAAAGGCGTGAGCTGAAAAAGCATATGAATTTTGAAAACTGTAAACGCTCGTTCACWTGACATTAATATAATGCTCGTCGGATATATGACTGCAAGAAATTGTCCGTCGAAAACCAAAGAAAATCTTAAAGATTCATTGTAGCGACGACTCCAACTGCTAGTGACAAAACGAAGGACAACTTGTTTTCACTGGCTGCAGAGTTGATAGAGCTCTCGACAGCATTGACTTCTGSCGATGGACTGACACCGGAGACCGCAACTCTGACGTTTTGCCCAGATTCACACCTTCTGCCAACGTCCGTAGCAAAAAACAGCTCATTTCCTGCGTCCTCAGCTGTAAACGTATAAGAGGCCCCAGATGCATATCCTACTAGTATGGCGCCCTTTTCATCACAAGTGCCCGTTGGGTGGATGTGGACATCGGTTATTCCTTCTGCGATTGGCAAAAACACGAAAACACGTCGATCGTGGAGTCAGAAAATATCTGTACGGGAACAATTTCATCGGATATCAATTCCAAACGTTTTGTTTTGCCGATACCTACCAGGCCACGTGAACGTAATCGTATCTCCAACATYGGCATCCATRTTCGGATAATAAGGATCCGAATCCGGCGGAACAATCCAATTTGTGATCTCCAAGTCGGCACCAGAAACGGCGAAGACGCAGAGTAGCAGAACAAAAAGTGATCTCATGGTCATAATGCTCCGTCTGGAATATATGTGAGAGTAAATCACGTATATTTCGCAATATATCGTACTTCTATTAGGCGAGTTAGTAAGGACCGACCGCAATCTGAGTTTCTCATACGAATGCGTTAACTATCGACACCGAAGAAAAAAATGATRAACATCGGAATAGATGGCATCCAACATAMAATTATTCCCACTGCTTACGAGATTTCATGTGTTCGTACCCATCTTTCTCTAAAAAAAACAGATAGAACATAACGCATCCTAACGGTTATCGCTAGAATTTGAGCAAGATTTTTGTCCGGGACTCATTTTCAGTCCCATATCACGAGCAGGTGTAGACATCAGAAATCTAAAATCTGGGCACAATCTGTCGCGCTGGTTAAAAAGAAGACACGAAAAAGCCATTGGGGCAGTTTCTAGATTAGTCCATTCGTTCCAAAGACACGCAAATGACACGCAAATAAAGGATATCGTGCTACTGTTCACATTGCTGWACTTACGGGGTGTCGAAGTCGCACTACTCATGAAGCGAGTACTCGTACTCGTACTACGGTACGTACTGCATYGGTAATATTATTTTTAATTCGAAACCTCCGTGATCGCAATCTMATTTTTTATTTTCTTCATTGATGAAAACAACCCAACAGCTTTGTTCTCTTGTGTAGCGAAAATTCGAACAATAGGATGAAGCTCCGCAAGGCTGTGATCRGCTATAACATAGCCTTCTGGGCATTTTTGATTGCTATGTTCCTCGCACAGATCTTTTKGGGTCTCGGCGCCGTAGTGAACTACTATGTTCTTTCTACCATGACTTTTCTTTTCGTCCTCGTCTCGACGTTCCTCGTTTCGCACGACGAGTCTCCACTGACGGAGCAGCCAAGAAACGAAGATGCAAAGACGGACAAGTCAAATAACGTGAAAGAAGACATAGAACCGGGGTCCGATACGAGGCTGATTCATGCCACTCATGCCACAGCCCCAGTTCCCGTTAAAAAGGGGAGAATTGATTGGATTGATCACCTCAAAGTATTGCTCATTTCTCTCGTCGTTGTGGGACACAGCGCAAATTCAATAGTGGGAGCTCCTGGCTTTATTRGCCTAGGCGAAGTCCAACCAGAAAACAGCGAAGGCACGAGCTCCAATAGCAACTACTATTWCGCCGTGTGGTTGTGTGGGTACTTTCTGCTCAAGCCCGCAATTGTCCCACTCTTTTTCTTTGTCTCGGGATACTTCAGCGCCGCTTCTAGAATCAAACACGGGCCAAACAAGTTCCTCAAGAAAACATTTTGGAGGCTAGGACCGCCTGCTATTCTCTGGTGGCTTGTTGTCAATCCGGTGAATAGTTATCTMGGATACGCCCTTGTAAAGCCTACCAATATGTCTTATTCTTATTCACCTGGACAGGCCGCAACATGGTTTCTTACTTGGCTCATGGTGTTTAATTGTTGTTACGCATCGATTAATGTCGATCAAGATGGTTCTATAGGAGGAAGAAAGGATATACCGAAATTCATGCAGATAATGAAAGTTGCTTTGTCGGCGTCTATAGTACAGGTTATTGTGGGCGCATTAGTTCTTTTCTCTAACTCCGGAGGCTCATTCGCGGAAATGCCCTGCTTGTTTGTAGGAGATGGATATTTCAATGCGCTTGGCTACGCAAGTGGGATCTTGGCCAGGACACATGGCTGGCTCATACGCGACAATAGTGACGAAAGTTGCCATGACGATGATGACAATCTYGTCAAAAAATCGAAAGTCTGTGTTGTTGTCGTGACCCTCTTCACGATTGCTGTTTGCTTTCTTTTCTACGCACCAGGAGCACCATTCAGTTCAGTAGGAGAATCAGCTATGGGATTCTTGGTTGTTAACCTTTTGCTGTTCATCCCCGCCGCATTGTACTCTCCTTGTTCATGGGTTTGTTTGCTGAGCTTCTTCCAGTCGAGGTCGTTGGCTTCACAGCAGGAGCGTTCTTCAGAAAGAAGCAGYAGTGGTGACACTGACGAAAACAAMAATAAACGAAGCTTATCATTTTCCAAGTTTTTGTCAGGGGGCGCCTTTGCAGTTTATTTGATTCATTACTATTTTGTCACTCTATACACGTACTTGTACCTTCAGATCCTGGACGAGACACAGGACATACAAGTTCAATTTGTCAACACAACCTCGACAGCYGAGCCGGCCTTGGGAGATGGCAACAAATTCGCTGGTTTTGCCTTTGTGTCGACACTAAGTCTTGTGACATCTTTTCTYCTTGGAGGGCTGCTCAAAATGATYCCAGGACTTGGTAAATTCGTGTGAATGATAGTGACATTGTCCTCGGGTGTAACAATGATGCGAACAAGAAAGAATATGTGTAGTAAAGTAACTTGCGCGTTAATTGCTGTGATCATAATATTCAAAGTACGTACGTRCCGTACATAATATCTTTTCGTACCGTAGGTTCGACGTTCGGCACGTACGATGACACATGACACCCTGAACGCAAAGGTCAAAGATCCCTCCTTGATCCGATGCGTTCAGCTCTCGAGCAACCCCCGAAAGTATCCGATCAGTGAAATTGGTGGAATCACACCAAATCAAAATTGGTAGGAAAAGCAAAAGACAGCACCATATTCTGGTCACGATGCGATAGAGTAATCGACGACGACAAGAGCATCGATMATGGATGCCCCGAACGAAGAGCTAGATTCGGCTTTCGCAAGCTCCGAAAAGAAACGAAAACACGATGTATGCGAGAGCGAGAACGGCAYTGCGAGATCGTTGCGACCCTCTGTTTTCATTGGCAGCACGGGCCACGATCTTGCGATCAATGGAAGGATACTGGATCTCACGCCGAGAAAGGATTTTGGTGTCGAAGAATGCACCGCACTCGGGAAACTCCTGTCAGCAAACAACGACTCGACGGAGGATCGCGAGTGCGAGCAAACCACAATCGAGGAACTTCTCATGGGTCGACTCGGGATCGGTCCTGGGGGAGGCGCAGCTCTGGCTGAGTCTCTGGGAGCAAATCAGRCCGTAACGTACCTCGATCTAGAACGCAACGGGCTCGGAGCCAYCGGGGGATGCGCGATTTTCAGGGCATTGGCAGCAAACCGCACACTCCGCAAACTCAACATGAACCTGAATGATTTAAAGGCAGCTACAAGTGCCGGCAACCACGAGGCAACARACGCCCTGGGCGATGCCCTGAGAACGAATTCAACGCTTAAGGAGCTTCTTTTGGTGAGAAGTGGGCTCGGACCCAGGGGTGGAAACMATCTCGCTCAGGGATTATCGAGCAACACGTCCCTCTTGAGCCTAGATTTGGCCGGCAACGATGTCATGGCGGATGGTGGTCAAGCTATTGGGGAGGCACTGAAAACAAATGCAACACTGAAAGAGCTGAACCTACGTTGGAACCGCATCGGATGCGGAGGTGACCGTGGAATCGAGTCGCTGGCAGACTCGCTCCGGACAAACACGCACCTCCAAAGACTCGACATGAGCGTGAACGAATTGTATTCCGAAGGTGCCATTGCGTTCGGCAGAGCTCTCGCAATAAATCGYTCGTTGCTTCATCTTAGCCTCGAACGAAACGAAATCGGATCGGTTGGGGCCACTGCCATTGCAGCAGCTCTCAAGGTCAACAACACCATCGAGAAGCTTGTTTTATCTGGGAATCCAATGATGGGGGATAACGGTGTGGAGGCAATCGGACTGGGTCTCGCCGAAAATCAAGGATCGGCTCTCAAGATTCTTGAACTCGTGGACTGCGGAATCGGTGGCGAGGGAGCASGCGGGCTTAGTGAGGCGCTCAAAAGCGTTGGGACATCCCTTTYGGATCTCCGTCTCGAGAGAAACAGAATTGGTGYAACGGGCTGCCGAGCCATCGCAGCCGGATTGGAAGAAAACAGTTCACTCCGGCATCTAAACCTCGCTAGGAATGGACTCCAAATGGGCGGTGGAAATGCACTAGCGGCTGCGCTACAGAAAAACAACACACTCCAATCRCTCGACGTTTCAAACAACGACATCGAGATAGAAAATGTCGATGCGGACRACGACAGGGTCCATATTGTAGAATCTGTTGTTGGCCATCCATCACTGCAGCTCGTAAATTTGTCAGACAAYGCCCTGGAAATCATACCGATCGACTGCCAACTCAAATTAGCCCGAATCTACGAATCAGAACGTGAGCTCGATATTGACTTGTCGGACAATCCATTATCATCACCTCCACTCGGTAGAAGAGCCAACATAGAAGGCCTGAAAGATTATTTGAAGATGCTTCTTTCTGAATCGACATCGGTGAATCGCATTCGTCTGATGGTCCTCGGTTTTGGTGGTGTTGGTAAGTCGACGTTTTGCGATGCCGTGACACAGAAAAACGAAGACCTTCCTTACTTTCACGGATCCTTGATCCCTCTCGAAGAGTGGGATTTCAAAATGATTGCMTCGTGGGCGAGGCGACTCGGAACTCAATGGGCTCAATTCATTGGCTCTGTACTCGAGACCAATCAGATTTCTGGCAAAGATCTACCAAAATTGATCGGGAACACGAAAAGCGACGACGAGAYCGACAAAATCGGGCACGATCGTGATGAGTGTTACCCATCGGAAAAGCTCCAAGCTTTAGTGGACAGCTTTGATACATCGGGGTATRGAATGGATTCTTCCCACATGAAAAGCTTTGCTCGTGCGATCGAGTCATTGATGCGAAAAGGGTATTTTTCGACGGTCGGAGCCGTGAAAATGGAAAGCCTTTTGGAATTGGAAAAACTCGGGGAAGATAGCAATTCCAACGACAGAGCCGGTCGGGCTTGTTCACTGGTTGACTTTGCGGGGCAGATGGAATACCTCGTGTCTCACCAGCTTCTACTCTCGAGTTTACACACTCTTTGTGTGGTTCTCCAACCTGCACCATCCTTTGGGAATCCCCAGAGCAGACACTCCGGGAGTTGGATGTACTGGTCTCGMTTTCTGCGTGCACTTGGGGATCGTCGACGGGGATCGCTTCTGCTCGCCATTTCACAGCAAGACAGGGTCAGTGGTTTCGAAGACGGCACCTTGTCCGACATCGATGCCGCGRTCGAGGACGAATTGAGTGCCATCCGCTCAAAGATTCCAAACATCACAGAGTGCCCCCCGCTGCGGCTGAATTACCGTCCGGAACGCATTCGACAGACCGTTCAAGAAGTCCGAGGCGCCCTGTCGAATGCAGCAGACATCGTTGCGAGAGATTGGTGGGTTCCGGCGAGCTACGAACGGTTGGCGGAACTCGTTCGTCGCTTAGAGGACGAGAAGAAGGCCAAGCGGGAAGTACCCATACTGTCACGGGAGGAGCTCCGCGGGGAGCTGCCATCGGCTGGCTTGCATCGAATGCACGAGGATCCACAACTCTTCAAGCGTGGCATYGAGTACTTGGAGGCGGTCGGGGACGTCATGGCAGACCATCGCCTCGATTGCTTGCTCCTCGATCCGATCAGCTGGTTTGCATCGTTTTTGGCTCACTTCATCCGAGACGATGACATTGTGACATCCGTGCAGCTCGACTCTCGTTTCGTCAAGCGTGGGATGGTGAGTCTGGAAGATRTTGTGAGAGCGCTCCGGCACGACTACGTGAAACCACGAGAACAAGTTGCGCAGGTCATGTCACTTGTTTGCCGCCTCGAACTGTGCGTCCTACAAAAACACCAAATCAACGACGAGTCCGATGGTGGCGACGGTGCATCGGATGSGCAAGACAGACCCAGTGGTGKTCGTGTCTACAAAAAAGATTCCAATCGGTTTTATCTGTTTCCGTGCCTGCTTCCRATGGCAACCCGGAACGAGATTGCCAGGATCTGGCCCACCGCGGTGGACACCCAAGGCGACCGCCCACCCGGTGCGCCGCCGCCGTCCGTGGTCTACCGCGGGCACCGGTTCCGTTCCCGGTGCGGCTTCTTTCCGCCCGGCCTCTTTCCCGGGCTCCTGGCCCGGTGCAGGCTCCTGCGGACCGGGGTGGTCTCGCCTCGTCGCACCTGGAAGAACTGCGCCGTCCTGCTCTTCGGCAGGCACGCGCGGGTGGTGGTCCGGATCGATCTCCGCGGGGMCGATCCGGTCCTGGACGTGGTGGGGGCCGCCCCCACCGCGGAGGACCTCTTCGTCGGCGCCGCCAAGGGCCAGGCCAGCGTGGTCGTCTGGGTGGCGCACCTCGTGCGGATGTTCCTGCGGAGGTCCTATCCGCAGCTGGCCCTCGACGAGTCCTTCCTGTGCCCGTCCGCGGAATGCAACGCTCTGGCTTCCGCGGGCGGGGACGATCCGTTCGATCCGTGCCGGTCCTGCTACCGGGGGGCGGAGTTCCCCGCCGTGCCCCGATCCGGGAAGCGGTATCGGGGGGACCACGACTGCGAGGCGGACGGGTGCTGGAGCCAGCTGGGCGTCGGGCACACGATCGAAGCCATGGTGCCGCAAACCACACAAGAGGGGCTGTTCTGCAGCAATTGTYGCCGGGAGGCGCGGTTTGCGCTCCGGTCCTAGGTCCAGACATTTCGTTCGATCCAAGAAAGGAGACGCAGTAATTTATTTTCCGAGCTACTAAGTAGAGTATTGAATGGTCGTCCCCGACGACTTTTGATTAAAGTTTTGGTCCRTTTTCGGTGTTTGCCCTAGTCCTTCAACACCAGCATGGGCTTTTGCGTCACGTCGGTGACCCTCCCTCCCATGGCGGAAGGGACTTTCGTGGTGATCTTTCCCTCCTGCCGCAGCTTGTACAACTCGGCATCGTCTACGACGATAAAGGTCCCGTCGCTTTCTTTCTGCACCATTGTTTTCCCCACGGCCGCGAACCAATCGGGGTAGTTCTTGGCGTAAAAGGCGTTTTTCGCRCTGTCGATGTTGTTTTGCTTGTTGGCCGCACTCCTCCTCTGGAGCTCCAGGATGTAGGGGTTGCCCTCGGCGAGGTCCTCGCAGTCGTTTCCCTCTCCGTAGGCGCAAAACTTGCTCGCCTGGACCCCCGCGGAGGCMGGTTCCGGCAGTGCCCCACCGGTTGCGACAAATGCCACCGCCGCCGCCGTCTTGGACAACACCCCGCGGCGCTCCAAGAGATCGCTCCCGGTCGASGGGGGTCGGTTGGGGGCATAGGCCGACACCACAACGACGAGAAGCAGGCACGGRGCTAGAAGCACCGGCATCCTCGATACAAAAGAAGTCGAAAGCATGGCTACTGTATTGCAAATTATCTCTGATGAAACGGAAKGGCGTTTGGTATGWGTCTCGATATACTGTATTCGTATCGTCTTCTTGCACCCTGATAGATGGACAAGCGGAAACTTTCTACGTTTGAGTTGTTGATCCTCGAAAACTTCAAAAGAAAAAGGCTTCGTTTCCGTTCTTGCGTGTTGTTCGCGTAAAATTCAGTTTGTTCCCAATAGCTTTCCGTAGGTACCGGTATGGTTACAACTTCTACTGAATTACAACTTCTACTGAACTTCCAATAGTACCGTACGTACACACGTTATCGTACTGGCTTGTTGATGTCGATCTTTCTCATTCATCATCGTGGTTTTCTCATAATCGCCCTAGGACGTTGACGTCTGTCATGGTACGGCAAGGTAGTGATGGGGGGATTTCCAAAAGTATGATYGATGATTGTTTTTTCTTTCTTCATCAAAACCTGCTTCCTCCGAACCATCGGCAACACGCATCAAAATAAACCCCGATGCTCCTACCTACCGGCAACTAGCCCCGCATRCACCAAAATGACAGCGACGTTGCCACTGCGTTTTCTATCGATCRAGGCCCTCGCGGTCCTGCTAGCTTTGGTCCACCCGGGGGACGCGTTTCGCTGCCATCCCCGCTGCCAGCGCGCCGATGCTGCCCAGAAATCCAGGCAGTTGCACCGACCGGGGACGGCACMGCTGTCCGCCGGAACGAGCGGCAGCGACGACGGCAGCGACGGCGTCAATAACAATGACACAGACGAACCATGGCAGCCCCCGCCCCGCCGGGAAGCGACCATCCGCCTCGCCAAGAGCGGGAGGGAGGCCACCCTGGTGTCMCGGACGGTCCCGATCCACCCGGGCTTTTCGGTCACGGTCTGGGAGTGGAAGAACCCCTCCGAGCTGGTGAACGCGTACTGGGAGTCGGCGGCCGCCGCGCTGGACCCCTTCGGCCTGGTCTCGTGGCCGGGATCGGTGGTGGCGGCCCGGGAGCTCTGCCGGAACTACGAGGAGGCCGTCTACGGCCGCAGCGTCGTCGTGCTGGGGGCGGGGGTGGGGGTGGAGGCCCAGGCGGCCGCSATGCTGGGAGCGGGGAGGGTCACCGCCACCGACGTCCACCCGACCACCCTGCAGCAGCTGGAGCTCGGGGTTGCCCGGAACGAGGAACTCTCCGGGAGCAAAGCAGAATCGGTGGTCTCCACCGAGATCCTGGACCTCTACAAGACCAAGGACGAGCAGCCGATCCCGTCGCCGTGCGATTTGSTGGTGGTGGCCGACGTCCTGTACAACGAGGAGCTKGCGACCCAGGTGTGCCGGCGGTGTGCCGAGGCCCTGGAAGCAAACCCGGAGGTCCGGATACTGGTCACCGACTCCCAGCGGTTCGTCCCGGAGTTCATCGACGAGCTCAACGAGGCCCTGGCGAAGGTGGCACCTTCCACGCCGCCCGTTGCGTGGAAGGTCGAAATATTGAAGAGCTTCGAGGGATCGGGGGTGATCATCGAGGAGGATCAAACATACGACGTCACCGTACAGAGCCTATGGATTGGTTTGCAATAACGTTCTTCCTGCACKCATCGGCACGAGCCAAGCTTGCTTCTAATTCCGTAGTTGCCGTTTTGGGCATKGTCGTTCTATGTTTTGTTGCAGTATGACTGGTCAGCTTATTATTACTTGTGTCGTACTGTAATGCTATTGGAACAATGTGCATCGATTCTTCGTTTTGGTCGGCGTTTCTCGCGTCGATTTGCTCCTCTATGATTTTTTGTCCACAGAACCAGCACACTGCGGTCCAGCAGTCAATGCCTTACATATTGCTGTGGCTATTGGACCTAGGACGATCCTTCCAGCTCTTTCAACAACTTGGTCATTTTTTCGTCCACGACCGCCAGGTCGGCCGCCACGGGAATGCTCGCCTCAAAGTCTCGGTATGTTGGAATCACCTCGAATCCCAGAGATTGCAGCAGTCCCAGTCCGCCCTCTACTCGAGTTATTTTGTCCGCGACCTTGTTGCTGAGCTTGAACCTWCGGTACTTGGGTTCCCACGGGGTCTTCCTGGAGTTCTGTAGATACTTCAGCCCGATAGACAGCACCTCGGCCACGGACGACGGAGCGTTGCGTTCTAGGGCGTGCGCCAACGCCTGGTCCACACCGTCTCGTCGTTCCGGCCTCGGCTCCCCGGCGTACGCCGCTTTCCCATCGAGTTTTCCTGGAGGYATTGTTGTCACGAGTTCTTCGACGGGAATTTTTGATACAGTTGTGAGGGCGGTGGCAGCTGCCGTGTTTGGATCGTGGCCAGCCAGAACCAGCTTTTCAAACTCGGCCTTGAATCGTATTGAAATCTCTTGGTGGTCCCCTCCTTCCGAGCCATCCAGCGTTCGCTTCAGATACGGATTCTCGTCGGGATCGCTGTCCTTTTCGTCACCGGCACCGGTCTCCATTTCACGGGCAGACATTTCGATCATGGACAGTRGTTCTTTCGTGGAAGCGGGCGAACGACCGAGCCACGATTGAAACATGGCTTCGATTCGAAGGTCTCCACCCCGGCAGGCGGTTACCACCTCCTGTCGGCTGTCGCTGGCCGACACGACAACTTCTCCGGATATGGCATCCAGCACTACAAGCGAAGGAATACCCCTAACCCCGTATGTTACGTTCAGCGACTGCTTTACGAATTCTAGCTGATCAAAGGGGATAGCTTTCCACGGCATCGTCCGATAATATTGATTGAAACTCTGCTGGTCTCGATCTCCACTCACAAAGACGACCTCCAATCCGTGCGTTTCGAATGTTTCGGAAAGATGGTCATACAGTTCGGCCAGCATGGGTGTGAATCCTCGGCAAGGCCCACACCTATCGCATCGTGGAAATGTCACGAACAGAATTGCAAGGCCAGTGTTAGACAGGATMTCCAAGAAAAGAGAACACGGCAACCAAAAAAGGCCGCGATTATAGGTACCTACCARTGAGCCGAAAAATAAAGAGCAATCAAGCGAGCGTTCGACAACGCATCCGCAGTGTCCATTCTCARATCCACGCCCGAAAGCAGATGYGGTCCTAGAGACGATCTGAAAAAGCTTGAATCCAGCGGTACGTCGTAGATTGGCCGAGACGACCCGCTCGAGGGTGCGTCSTCGATGCCACAGTCGGAGGTTGGCACCAGAGGTTCTGGAAGCTCGAGAAAGGTGTTCCATGCGACATCCTCTCCAAGAATGTTCGTGGCCACCGCATCCACTGTTTGCAATGGATACGCGGTGGAATTGAGCAGGTACACCGGGCTGTTTTTCCGGGTAGTGTAGCCGCAGTACCGGCCCCCGTGTGATTTCGCGAACCGAAGATAGGCCTCGCGTTTTTCTCTCTCGGTTGCCCCGTTTTGTTGCGTGGTCAACGGCATGAACGCTTCTGGCAARCGCCCCGCGATGCGTTGAGGGAACGATGCTCGCTCGGTTCGCAGCCGAAGGTTGGCGACCTCGTCTYCGCTTCCRTTCTCGCTGTTTTGCASTTCGATCTCGAATTCGTATCCCTTGGTYTCTTTCAGCGGTTCACAAAAGGTCCAGTCGGGGTGTGCGTCTACTTGGCCCGCAAAAAGAACTCCTTCCCTGGCCACTTCCTCTCCGTTCCATCCGCCGAGCCGYGGGATTTTGACTTCCCCGTAGAAATCTTCTGCCTTGGTTTCGTTTCCAATCTCTATCTTTCCRTTCATGAGCACGATTCGTCCGGCCGGAAGGCGATCYAGAAATTCGACAATCCTTGACCAATCCACGAATGATTTCGATTGGAGAATGCACCCGAAGGATTCGTGGTTGTCGTCGACGACCACTAGCGAGACCGAATCYTTGACTCCCACTGCACACGGGGTCTCGGACACGACGATTCCGTCGTGCCTACCSGTAGGGGTAGCACGGAGTCGAAACGAGACCCTTCCGTTCTCCAATCTCGCGGGGACGAATGCCTCTGCCGGAAAACCGGCCACTTCACGGTCTGCGTCCGTTGTTGTCGAGTTTGTTTCTGCCGCCGAAGATCGATCCTGTTTGTTGCCGTCTTCCCGGCGCGATTGCTTCCACGCGAGCGATCCACTGATGCGTCCGCTGCCGTATTTCTCCTGGTCGGTCCATTCGGTGGCCTGCTTGGACTGCTGTAGCTCCGCGTGCTCTAGTTTGAGGCGCCGRACCAGTTCTTCGACCCTTGATTTTGGCAGCACCGTGGGGTTYGTCCTCATGTGCTCGTTCAGTTTTTGYAGCATGGATTCGCCAACTTCTTCCGACGTGGTGTGCTCCCGCCGCCTCGTTTGCAGATCGTCCGTCATGAATTTGCGTGTGTATCGTGGCGTGACGTCCACGACGTGGTCGGCCCCGATGCCAATCATGTAGCTGAAGCTGTCTTTGCCCCAGCCGTGCTCGTACATGCTGGCTTTGTCGATCGTCCCCTCGCAGCCGTCTGCCATGACCCAGGCATCGCCCAGCCGCACCTCTGTCCAAAGGTGATCGCTCCAGTCCAATACCATTCGCGTTTCGAACCCGACGGATCGGCAAAACAGGCCAAAGAGGTTGGCGTATTCTCCGCATCGACCCCTGCGTGTCTCGAGCAGTTTGCTGGCTTTGTTGTACCGCGGAAAGGTTGTCGTGTTGGCCTTGCAATCCGGACAATAATATACTGTGGCAGTCGCGTGGACGAACGAGAATCACGGTGCGAGGCAACGCGATGCGTGAGCTCCGAGCCAGCGCTTTGCAATGCCCCGGGCGTCTCACARCCGGTTTCGGTTCCCCTCCAATCCAAGGGCAACCGCACGCCAAAGAACGCAACGCAACGCAACGTCACGCAACACAAAACAAAGGACTCACCTTCCACCCGMCGTGCCTCCCCGTCGATCTCCTCCGCGGATTCCGGTCCCCGGACCGTCTTCATCTCGGTGTCCTTGCACCCGCACACGCTGCAGGGCGGCGCGTTCACCCAGGTCATAAAGGTCGGGAACCACCGGCAGAGCCGCTGCAAAAACAGGGCGTTCGAGTCGGCGCCGCATCCGCTCCGCAGGAACCGGTCCTCCACCGCGTTGGCGTATTTCTCGTGGGCGTCGTCCGCGAGTTCTTYCCACGGAACATGGGACCGGCATTTCTTCAGGAGTTCCTCGTCGGCGTCCCAGTTCCGTACCGTTCGGGCCGACGTCTGCACCCGGTCCAGGAACTTTTKGTCGTCCTCGGAGAGCCCCCGGATGCGCAGCATGGTGCCGTCTTCTTCCTCGCTGTCTTCTCCGAGTGACGGTGCCTGGTTGTCTTCGTCCCCCTTGCTTTCGCTGTGCCGCAGGCTTCCCTTGGTGCCGGGGACTGTCTTTTCCTTCCCGGAGTTCTTTTTGTGGCGGCTGTTGCTGCGTTTGAGGCTGTTCTTGTTTTTGTCGCGCCTCTTGGTTTTGTTCGTTTTCTTGGTGTTGTTGTTGTTGTTAGTAGTAGTAGTAGTAGTGCTGCTGCTGCTGTGCTTCTCTTTGCTTATGCTCTCGCTGTTGCCGAGGGTCACGCCCCTGCTTTGATGGACGATGCCGCTACTGCTTTCCGTAACGATGGGCTTGGTCCTACCGCTGTTGGTGCTGCCCGCCAAGATATTCTCTATCAAATTGGTGGCCCCTACTCCAACCTTGTACAGTCCGAGAGGGGAGAGAGACGTCGTCGGGGTACAGTAGCTGGTGGATATCAGGATGAAAAAAATTAATAACCGACGAAGGTTCACGGTCGCAGGACCAGAGGCACCTCTGTTCCCGTTGCACGATTTCGTTCCGGCGGTGGACGCTGGTGGTGGTGGTCGAGTTTCCGTCCGGAAGGATTCGGGTGTCTTCCGGTTCTTGTTTCGTGTTGCTCGTGTGGTGGACCTACTTGAAACAAAACGGCGGTTCTCTTGTTTCATTATCTATCAGTGTCCCGACCGGTGTTCGATTCTCCGATCGACATTCGTCGGCAACGRGCAAGGCCACTCAATTCCCGACTGACTTGTTCGGAGCTCTTTCCGTCTTGGAATTGTCGCGTTGCAATTTTGGTTTCGTCGGTGATGTTCTTCGGTTTTCGGTTTTGTTCATGCRCTTCCCCTACAAATAAAAATACAGTAATGAATCATCGTGGACACGGTGACCGTAACGGATAGAGCTGTTCCGGAAGTYCGTGGGGCAGTACCAGGTATCGTACCTTACCCCGGTTCGTACGGAAGAGAAGCGTCTCGTAACTCTTCTACTGAAACATATTCGTACCCTACGTACGGTACGATGTGCAGTTGCTGAACCGAAGCTGCGACCTTTTCGAGTGTCAATCAAAAGGATTCATTTTCCTCACCCAAGGAGTCGTCGCAAAGGATTCTTTTTTCCCTGCCGGGTTACCGTGCAGTGGCACTTCGTATCGATCGTACTGGATGAACGAGGAACAATATGGAGACATCTTCAACCGACTTTTTGTACGTTGACAGGGTACGTGGAGTATGTATGCTASCGATCCAATCCCCGATGCATCCTGTTTCCGAATCACAAAAAACAGTTCTTCGCCGTTGTGGAGATGCCCATTACGACGAATGTGGCGTGTGGCGCGCCAGCTCGCATGTATCAAAATTTTAACCCGCGATTCGTGMGATGCCGCCCTTTTTTAAGATCATTGTTTTTCTTGGGAGTGACTCACTCWGSMCARRMMAWAAAA